TTACCTTGTACCTGCGGATTCCCCACCAGGTCATCCCCTGTGGTTAACACCAAGTCCAGCAAGGCATTTCCCCTACTGGGATCGTATACCTCCTGCATTAGCTGGAGGCACTGTATGTAGGTTAAGAACCTATGTGAGCAGTTAGATTTGGCTAGATGCTCCTCCCAGCAAATTTAAGGGTAGTTTAGATCTCCCATGACAACTACAGGGTAGTTTAGGACACCTATGAGTCTACTGATGGCTAAGAAGGCCAATCCAGAACCAGAGACACTATGGCAAATGCCACAGGTGGTGGTTAAAGGAAGGATTGGACAACGGATTTCTCAGTCTTGCTTCCTTTCCTTCCATTTCTGTCATTTTTCTGACTCCAGGACAAGATGTCTTTCCTCAAAATAAGATGCATGTTCTCTCATAAGGTATGACCATGTAGCCTGTCCTGGGCTAGTTTTTTCCCAATCTGTGGTGTCTATTCCACACTCCTTAATGTTCATTTTGAGGGTGTCCTTGCATATCCACTGGCCCCCATGTGTCCTTTGTCCTTGACTGAGTTTGAAGTACAGCAGTTATTTTGGTAAATGTATTTCAGAAATGTACACAGTACTCTGTCCACTGCAGCTGATGTTGAATAATCAACACCTCCATCCTGGCGGTGTGTGTGTCAGTGAGGACACTGGCATTTTTGTAATTATCCTCCAACTTAATACCCAGGATCTTCTGGAAGTAGTACCGGTGATGTTGTTCCAGGGTTTTCAGGTGGTCCCTGTAGGTCACCCAAGCTTCACAGACATAGAGGAGTTGGGATTATCACAGCCTTATATAGCAGGAGCTTTGCTTAAGTTCTGATGTTGTGATCATTGAACACATGATGATTCAGTCATCTGAAGGCAAATCTGGCACATCAGATCTTATACTGGATCTCCTCATTGATGTTGGCCTTCTTTGAGAGATGGCTGTCGAGGTATGTAAGTGTTTAACATTCTTCAGCTCCTGACTGTCAATGAGGGTCTTTGCTGGAGGAGCTGACCGGCCTGAAGCAGGCTGGTGAAACACCTTCATTTTTCCAATGTTAAAGGTCAGTCCCAGACACTGGTATGCTTGATAGAATCGGTTAAAGGTCATCTGTAGTTCCTCCTCAGTGCGTGCAATGACAGCACAATCATTGGCGTAGTGAAGTTCCACAATGGAGGCCAAAGTAATTGGTTTTAGCACAGAGGCAGAAGAGATTGAAAAAGTTTCCATCCATCCTGTACTTGATGTCAATGCCATGTGGCAGACAGTCATGAATAAGCATCTTGATGACCACAAGAATGATGGAAATCAGAACTGGTGTGATGAAGCAGCTTTGCTTGATCCCAGTTTGAATGGCAAAGGGCTCCATAGCAGAACCACTGCATAGGATGGAGGCAGCCATCTGGTCATGAAGGAGCCTTAGGATGGTGATAAATTTCACTGGGCAGGCAAACTGCAATAAGATCCACCATAGACCCTCACAGCTGACAGAGTAGAAGGCTTTGGTCAAAAATAAAGGCCATCTGAAGTTCCTAGTAGTGTTCTCAGCATTTCCCTGGACCTGATGGGCTGCAAAAATCATGGTGCCTCTCAGTGGTCTGAAGCCACATATTATTGACAAGCTGCAAAATCCTATTGCTGAATGAGATGATGTACTTACCTTGAAAAATTGAATGCTTTTTTCTTCCCTATTTTATATGCATATCCTAGTAGCATTGATATGTAAGCATTTTCATTTACAAAAATGCATTCTTTGCAAAGAAAATTTAGATGTTCTATGCTGCATGTGTTCTATGTGCAGATGTTCTATGCTGCATTCTTGCAGGAAAGGATAGGCAGCTAAATGACCATGTCAAAACAAAAGTAGTACCAGATTCACTTTCCCCTAGGCCCATTCACCTCAAGGCAGCATAAACTTCAAAGTTTGGCAGTGGCTCTTATAAATGCTGTAGTTATTAATGGAAATCTGACTTCCTGCATCACAATTTTCATGCTAAAGACTTCACCCTCCACAGGGCTGAATGCCCTCCAATCATACTTACTAGAAGTGGCTTCATTCTGCACAAATTTAATATTGGTGGATATTTAAAAATTTCCTTGAGTGGACCACTGACAACAATACTGTGAGGCTCTTATAAGGCACCTGAGGCATCTAGTACTGTTCCAGTTGAATTCAGAGGGATTTCCAATATTCACAATAATGGGAACAATATTTGGTGAACACTTTCTTCACACTATTGATAAAAACTGCCACCTCCCTGACCCCACCCACTAAAAAACAGGTTTTAAGTCCCATCATATATTGACAAGTCAGACAAAGCTCCAGGGATCAACAGAAAGACCACATGGCAATAGAATCCATGATAGTTGCTGTTACTTCAGTAGTTGCTGCAGCATTGTGGCAGAATAGTTAAGAGTGTCTAAATGTATGGCCTGCAAGCTGGATCTGGTCCACAGCACCATTCTGTCGAACCCACTGGGTTAACAGAAGTTAGGGGTGTGATCAGGGAGAGGAAGGGTCTGGCACAGAATTTGGGGTCCCTGGGCCCTCCTGGACCTGGCCATTGAAAGCGGAAGAGGGAGTGAGCACTATAACACATTCCCACTCACCCTGCATCCACCTGCCTTCCAGCCCCCAGATTGCTCTGTGCTAACCCCACAGATCCAGGCCAAGGCCTGGGATGAGTTCGACATCCCTGAGCTACAGCATCTTTCTGTGACGCCAGAGTTATGAAGAGTCCTATTTGGCCTCATGCCAAAGGCTGCCCCCAGCCAACCAAGTTGTAAAAGGTGCCAGATCTGTTGGGTTGGGGAGTCAATGATGCTGGATATGTTGTTAGCCTCATCACTTCTTTGTGTGTCATTGCTTTTTACAGAAACCAGCTGTTACTAACTATGCCAAACCTATGGGCTGATACTCTCACTGACTTTCCCTACTTCCATAACTATTATTCATGTTAGACTGCTGCTGCTTTCCCATGGTGTCTTGTTTAATAAAAGGTACTAAAAACTTGGCATTTGTCAGGTTAAGAATATTTTGTATAATGATTTTGATCATAAACCACCAGGAAGTTTGCTAAAAGCACTAAATTCATTTGTATAATGACTTTAAATATAAAATTGCTTGATTGTATTGATTGTTTTAAAACCCTTTTTTTTTTTTTGCCTGAAGAAAATGTGATTTCAGTCATTACTGCAGAATATAAAAATAAGTACATCAAAATAGTATTTAAATTTATCACAGGCAAGGGACACAACTGACTCAACAAATCATGGTGAAGTACCCATAATAGAATGCTGTTTATTTGATGAGAGAGGCACAGAGAGTATTCATGCTGTTCTATCACTAGAGCATGATATGTGCTTATTAACATGATCTAGGGTTACTGACATCTTGTGCTGAGTGAACCGCTAGTACCCAGAAATTCCCAGATATGACATTTTTTCCACAAGACATTTGCAAAGTTGAAAATATTGGAGTCACTTGGCATATACACATTAGAATTCCATTGGCTTCAGTGGAACAACACTAATTAGCAATACTTAAAAATCTGGTCCAACATATTTAAATTAATCACGCTTTTATAAGTCAACTGCCTTCTTTTGTGTATGGCCTGGACTTGAGATTAAAGGCTTTGTCTCAAGAAGGTATTAATGTGTGCTTAAGTGCTTTTCTCTGTTGGCAGCATAAGCACTAGAAAGCTGGCTATACTTAATTTATATTTTATTGGGTTGCATTTTAATTGTATATATTCAACAGAAAAGCCATAAATCTATTTGGTGTCTCTTCCCAAAACCCTCTAAGTAAACTACATAATTCAGTTCCCAGAGAAGTGATGCATCTCTTGATAAACATTTTAAATATTGAAGTTCTGACTGGATATTTTGGAGCCATGACTTTCTGTCCTCCACAAAACAATACACCTGTCTCTGCCACTGTTGGCAATATTGATTTTTTTCTTTGCTTTTCTTTTTTTAAACTTTCATTTCCAACAGCTTTATATACATAGCTTCAAGGAAGGGGCAAAGTTTTACCCAGATTCCTCAGAGTGGGTCAGATGTCCTATTTCAAAACATTGCTAACGCTTATCTGGAAATGTCTTGTATGACCTTGTAAATTGCATCCTGGATGTCACATTCCATTTTTAAAGATGATTTCTGTCACGGATAGTCTAGTAAAAGCATCTGATGTAAAGATGGAGGGGAGGAGGAAGAAAAGGTAAGAGGAGATGATTAAATCCCAAATGTAACACTTTAATTCGACATCTGAAAATATTTGGGCCAGCACAGGGGTATCTAACTCATCCAGCCCCGTGGAGTAAATCACTAGTATGGGGCTAGCCCTCAGTCCAGATCAGGCCATGGACCCTCTCCACTCTCCTCTCTCCCTTCTTCAGCATACCGCATCTGATATGTGTTCCAGCCAGCCTTAGACATGTATCCTGGAGCAGCCAGAATAGCACCACACAGCACACAGCACCTGTCCAGTCAGACTGTGCACGCAGTGCCCACTCTGGGAACTGCACCACGCATGATGTCCACTCCAGTCCAGTGCAGCATATGACAGGTCCCATGTGGATCTGTTCAGACTCACGGGCCACTCCCCATCTGGCCCACAGACCATATGTTTGACATCCCTGGGTTATCGTGCTACACAAAGGTTCCCCCTGAAGCACCATGCAGTGTGAACTCAGCCAGACTGAGAAATTAGGACATTTTTTAATCATTAGGATTCACAGATTCACAGAAGTTTTGGGCTGGAAGGCACCTCATGAGATCATCGAATCCAGCCCCCCTACTCTGGGCAGAAATGACTGCTGGGGCCAAATAACCCAAGCAAGGTGTGCATCTCATCTCCTTTTGAGGACCTCCAAGGTAGGTGTTTGCACTACCCCCACTGAGAGTCTATTCCAGAGTCTGGTCACATGAATTGATGATTAAAAAAAAAAAAGACTGCAGTTGCCTTTGCATGCTTAAATGATGTAATATACCTGATCTGCAGCAGCATGTTGTTCTTGTCAAAAGGGAAATCAAGTGTTACCTCTCTTCAGTTCATTGTGGAGAACTGAAACTGAATATATTGCTGAAAGAAACTGAAAGAAAGGTAGGCAATTAATTTTCACTCATAATGAGATGCTTGGATGTTTGCTTGCAGTCATTAATATAGATACCACTTTCATTGGTTGTACCTGGGTTCTTATACTATATCCATCACTTGTAGCATTTCCTACCACAGACACTGTTATGTGCTCCTTTGCTAGGTGGGGGCTATCAATGCACAGTAGCTTGATTTGGGAAATGATGTATGTGTGTAGTATTTTCTCACTGTTGTACCAGTCTATTAGTACTAGTTTAATTATATATACTTCCTGAAAGAAAAATACTAACTGCCTTATTCTCATTGCTCAAAGGCCAGTTGCAGTCAGTAGTGGCAAAAGAATAGCAACATATCAGCTGTTTGATACCTGTCCCTTGCAATTTGAGGAAATCAACATTAAAATAGGTCTATACCATAATTCCTTTTCCAAAGAATGAACAAAGAAAGCATAATGCTGCAGCACAGTAAACTGCCAATAATGGATTTGGAAAGAGGTGATGAAATCTGTCCCATCAATAATCAAAGGAAGCACTGCATTGAAAGCAAGGGGTTTATCAGTATTAGTTGTTAGCAATTCACATTCAGTTCAGCGAATAAAGAATAACTAATAAATTCTCACCATGCCCCTCTGATAAGTGATTTGCTTAAGGCAGCCTGGCAAGTCAATTAACATGACCACAGTAACTCACTATTTTCATTATATAACTAAGAATTGGACTAATAACTGGTGCAAGAGTTCATGCTTGCTACAAGGGAACTCATTAACAAAGATTCCATTGACTTCCAGGGAGGGGAGGAACAAGATTTCACCCAAGGTCTTTTTTCAGCTGTGGGAGATTGACTATTACCTAGGCGTAAGTAATTAAAAAAAGGTATTAGTAACATGCACTATGGTACATGAGGTGTTCCTGGTTGATGTGCAGAAAAAAAATCATGTTGATTTGCATTCTGTTGCTGCCTTCTGTCATTTAGTGATCCGTGATGCTTTTAGTTAGTGGTTCTCAATCTTCTGGAACTGCAGGCCACATGAGTGGAGTGGGCCAGTCTGTGAGCTGGCTCAGCTCTGCCTGCGGCGTGATCTGACATGTAGGGCTCCTTTTAGGGCTGGAAATTCAACAGTGTGGGAGCAGTGGCAGCATTAATTGTTATGGCTCTGGAAGCCATGGCAAATAACGCTGCCACCACTCTCCTGCCACCACTCTCCTACCACCAAATTTCTCGTCCTGTGGAGAGCAAGACAGGTCAGATTCGGCTCACAGGACAGAGTTTAAACACCACTGCCTTTAGTTGTTTTAAGCTCATGTGAGCAATCCAAGAAGTTCGTTACATTGTTGCCATGTCACTAGTAGTAGCACATAGCCAAGATTCTTTTTTTACAATACAGAAGAAACCATTTACATGTGTACATGAGTCCCAGAATTAAAAAAACAAACAAACAAACAAACAAAGTGTGTACAATGCTGTTGGCAATGAAAGTTAAAAAACGTAAAGCAAAGAAAAAAAAAATCAATATTGCCAACAGTGTCAGTGGCAGGTGTATTGTTTTCTGGAGGAGAGAAAGTTCAGTCCTAAGAAGAACATAGACGGCCATGCTATGAAGGTAGCTGGGACCAGTGTTTATCCCGAATTACCCCAGTAGAGTTCAAGAAGAAACAACTAATTCAGGAAAGTCTTTAAAAAGTTGAGCCTAAAGTTCATTGCTGTTGAGCGTGGTAGCATGATGAGTAACGGGGGTTTGGATTCAGCTATAAGAAATTATGCCATCTCTTGTGTGTGCTGAAGCAGTGATGGGAAAGTGGAAGTTTATAAGGAGTTAGATTAATTGTCTGAGACAGTCCATGTAAGTGTTCTGAGGTGACTTTCTCCCCCTGAAGTTTTGTGCCTAGAGGTTGGCACAGAGGTACAGAGAAACTAATTTTAAGTGGGTACATGACTGGAAGTCAGTAAAAGTTCCACTCATAAAAGGTTAGAGTATTAATGTATTGGGGAAGAAATGCAATGTGGTTTTAAAGCTTGTGTATGGTGTATAGGGCTCTTCAGTTGAAGTAATGCAAAGACATGGTAGCTTGCTTTATGGTTTTTAACAAGGTTTTGTGTCACGTATAATGAAACAACAAAAGTATCCCTTCAGTACACATTGCCATTAAAAAGGAGCGGCTTTACCTATTGTTTCTAATGTAGTTTAGTCAGAGTGCTATCCTCTCAGACAAAATATGTTTGCCAGCTGGGCCATTAGCATTGGTCTGCTATCTTCTGAGTGTTTGGAGTTGCAGCTAAATCTTCACCATAAATTGTAATGTTTGCCTCTTAGGGCACGTCCACACATGCAAGCATGTGTGTTTGCAGGAGCTCAAATAGAAGCAGTGAAACTTTGAGACAAGGCTTTTTGCCTCAGCACACATTCCTGGACATGCACTTTGGTGTGGGGCAAATTATGCCACTGGAGGCAAAATAACCCTGCCTGCCTCCTCCGGGATCTGTAGCCAGTGGGAGCTAGAGCCTGGGGCTAGCACCTGTGCTGGCCCCATGCAGTATAAAAAGCTGCCCTGGCAAGCAGCTCAGGACTACTTGTTCTCTGCAGCTTCTGGGAACACGACCCCTTGTGCTAGCTGCACTGCTGAAGCAGCCCTGAGAGTTGCCTGCACCCTCTACCCACTGCATCAGTCTGGCAGTAGAACTGGTCCCTGGCTGTGACCTGCTACCACCTGCAACACAGATGGACACTGCATAGCCAGTAGAGGCACCTGACCCTCTGGGCCAGCTGCCAGTGGGCTGTGGCTGCGTAGTTGCCTTTGTGAGGCACTACTGCCATGTGTGCCCCTGCCCAGCCACCTGGGCAGCTATCACCCGGAAGATGTTCCCATTTAGTGGCCTGCTTTGAATTGTCAAAGCATACCCTCCTGGCCCCATGTGGCCAGGAGGTCAGCCACCTCCAGCTGGGTCCCAGGTGCCAGCCCTGAGCAGGCTCTTCTGCCTGGGTCCTGCCACTTGCCTCTCTAGCAGGAATCCTGGTGTTCCCTATTTAAAAACTGCAAAATATCTGAAAAAAAATCCCAAATTAATTCTTTAAAATACCCCAAAATCCATGTTCCTCCACAATTGAAACAAAAGATCACTCTCACTGCATATATATGTATATGTATATGTATGTGTGTGTGTGTGTGTGTGTATATATATATAAAACCAGCAAGGGGTCTGGGATAGACATTGCATAAACCAGTTTGAGCCAAATCAGTTAAGTCTGATACTACATTCAACAAGGTTTATCTCTAACCAGTTTCAGACATTTTCATACTGTTTTATGTACACTGAACATCTGCTCCAGGTTTAAACCAGTTTCTGATCACTTAAACCAGTTTATGTGTAATGTCTGTCCCTAGCCCTGGAGTACTGTGTCCAGCTTTGAGCACCAACTTTCACGAAAAATGTCAATGTATTACAAATAATCCAGAGCAGGACAACAAAAAAATAAGTAGAAAACATAGCTTATGAAGAAAGAATGGGACAAACTGGAAGTATGTAGTCTGGAAGAGAGAACATGGAGGGAGAGTTGATAAGCATTACAATAGAAAAAGTATTGAAATGTATTTAGTGTACTAGAGAGCAGTGGCAGTGGCTTCTATCACTGGAAGTTCTTAAGTGTAGGTTACACAAATATCTGTTTTTGGTGGTTAGAAAAGGATGATCCCACCTTGAACCAGGTGTAGGAGTAGATAGTTCCATAAGGTCCCTTCCAGCCCAATTTTTCTATGATTATCTATGCTTTTTCTTCCATAAGCTCAAAGTCCTTGGTAGGTAAAATATGAGAGATCCTGCATTCTCATTGGTTTAGTTGGTGTTAAGCATATTCTGCTTTTTGCAAAATTCTATCAGTAATTGACTATATTTTTTATAGATATCAAGCACTGAATAAGATTTGTGGTGTGTTATTGCAAGGATTGGATAGTATCATCAAATACTCCAGTATAGTATTTAATCTTATTTTAGCTTTTAATTGCAAAACTCATTCCAGACAGAGAATGACAGTTTACTACAACACTGGCACGTATACACTGGCCGCATCTACCTGAGACACTGACTGCACAGTTGTTGCTTGCATAACCAAGTACTAAGTGACTGAGCAGTAACTGGCATTATTACACAATCACGTCCCTACATGGCTTCTGGGTGAAGCGTATTACTACTGTAAAGTAGTGTCGCATCACAGTAGGTGCCCCGTGATGTTACTGTGCAGTACTAACAAGCTACTGCACAGTAGTTACAAGCTACTGCGCAGTAAGTGTCTCCTGTAGACATGGCCACAGAGACACACAAAGCAAAGCCTGGTAAAAACCTTCTTTTACCTAGGTATTTCTTTGGGTTTTTTTGTTTTTGTTTTTGTTTTCTTGGCATATGCATTTAATGTAGGTCCAGATCCTCAGCATATGTAAAATTATGAATTGTATGCCTCTTAACAGCCTATTCTGGGTTTCTGTCACACCTGTTCATTTACCAGCACTGCAGCTGGAAAATGAGGTTTTTGAACCAGAAAAGCACAGACTCTGCATTCATTCTATTGATTTTTCCAATCCTCAAATGCATCTAGCTATACTGTTAGAAGTTAAAAATTCTGCTTAAAAAGGATGTTAATATTAAATTATGTAGATCAAAGTTTTATTGAAACTCATTGATGATAGAATATTTATTATAGAAGAGAGAATATTATTTTTTTAAATATACTGAAGCCTTTCAAGCTTTTCTTCTACTTGCTTGACAATTTTTAAAGATGTTTTTGCACTCACCTTGAGTGAAAAACACCTTCAGTAGGTGGCATATTTTATAAAACAAGGCTGCTAAATATCAACAGACTCCTGAAGTCAGGCTTTTATAGAAAGGATATTATCGCAAAGGTTAAAACAGAATGACTTCTAAAATAATAAAAGAGATTAATAATAAGGTCTATTTATTTGCAATTCTCTTGCTATATAAGAAATGTTTAAGACAACAATAATGATGACTTGCCAAATTCTGGCTCATGTTAACATATAAATTAGAATAGGTTCCTGAATCAGGAAGACATTTTAGTATGTACTAAATGTAAAAGAAAAAAGGAGAGCATTTATGATTCCATGGGTGAAGTTGTATGTTTAGGGTATGGGGTGGGAAACTATTTCCTACCTTAACTTCTTTAAATCACAGCAGTTTGGAAGTGCTGGTTCATGAACTGCCAAGTTCATCCTTGATGAAAAAAGGTTGGGGGGGCAGAAAGCAAAAAAACAAAAAGTTAACATGTTTTCTCCTGTATGTTATTTAGCAATTTCTAGAAGAGCTTTCACTTATGCTAAAGCTTATTAAACAACATGAAGGTTGCAAAATCACATAGTCGACATTGGCACTAACATCAGACTATCAAGACAGAAGCCATTATTGTATATACATGTGATAACAAGAGGCTGGGAGGACATTCCAGAAGTGACATAAAGATGACTTAGTTATGTTAACTTTATATCGCCGCTCTTTGTTGAATTGCTTTTTTTTCATTCCCCTCTAATGGATTTGATCACATTACTCTCTTCTATCACTAGTCTCTTAGGCAATATTGCATTAAGCTGAAGTTTGACGGTGAATGAACAGAGAAACTGAAGTGCCATTTCAGTGGTGTATGAGGCACATAGCAACACGACTACAAGTTAAAAATAACCCCATTTTCATGGCAGGAGGGCAGTTTTTGCAGAAATTTAGAAAAGCAAATGTATTTTGAAGCAGCATTAGCACCGATGACATGCTTGCAGAGATAAGTACAAGAAAAAACAACTGTTTAAGAAAAACTAAAGAAGGGAGTGAGGGAGGAAAAGAAGCAATATCTTAAACTGAAGGAAAACCGTTCATTAAGGGATAAGAAAGCTAAATTATATAGAGGCATAGTATATATGGAAGAAGAACCAAAAAGCAAGCCTAAAGTCTAGTCAAGTATGTATAGTTCTGACCCCCTATCCTATCATCATTTTTTTCTGTTAGACAGTATAGATATAGAACTGTACATTTATACATACAAGACTATAATGTTGTTTTAACATATGTTCTGTGTGTGGAAGAGTGTGGTGTCTACAACTGCATTAATCAAGAAGCAGTAAAAGACTGTGTCTGAGATGTACCTTTGCTCCTTGGATTGGCACTGGTCCGCTGCTATTAATCATGCCATCACTTTAAAAGCCCGAAGCAAAGGTAGCTATCCGTTACCTAGCCATGTGCTTTGTGAGGTGGGTATTTACAGGTACAGGGCATCTGTTTGGCCTTACGGTAGAGAATCAAAGATCTAAAGTGCCTATGTGTGAAGGTCAAAAGGAAAGTCTTATTACATAGTCATCCAACTCTTCCCCCGAGCAGCTGTGTAAGATGAGATGCTGTTTAGTTTATAGAAAGATGTACTTACTGGCCAGGGAGCTTATACTCAGAGACAAACAGATGGCAGCAGGTCAGAATAGGTAGGTGGGGGAGGATTATTGATGCAGAGTATGGAGGAGACATTAATTGAAGAGGTGACTTCAAGACTTCAATAGGGGTACTTAGTAGATGAACACAGAGCAGGGCATAATGAGCATATGGGGGCAGAAGTGGAAAGAAAAGGCAAAAAATCAGTAGGGTAAAAGAAGTACGCCTTGAACAAAGAGAAGAGAGAAGAAAATTAGAAAAAAGATTTCAGCATTTTTTGGAAGGACTTCAGCATATAATGTACCAATTGGTCAGCAGTGTGAGCTCTTCTCTGTCAGAAACGATTCTGAAAACACTGATTTATTCCACACATCACTGTACAGCCATTGGGTCATAACTTTCACTGCTATCTTGGGATGAAGCTGAGTGAAAAGCTCGACATAACAACCACAAATAATCAAATAAAAAGGAATTGGCTTCTTTTGCGCTTGTGCCCCTTTCCATAATACAATAGCAAAGGCATTTGCTGTGGGGAATGTTCATGGAAACCAAACAAGAAGTAAATTCTATTAGAGAATATGCAGAACAGCAAATTTTGAGACCATAAACATGCAACCTAGGTACTGTGCACATCCAATGAAGAAGTAATGCACCCAGTCAGAATTAACTAACATATCCTAATCTGTGTATGTTTTAACTGTTCATGGAAACCTGCTTGCATATAGGTCTAGATTTGTTCACTGAAAATATTGGGTGAATGCAAGTGAATAGTAAATAAATGTAATAAAACCTAACTGTTCATAGAAAAAATTACTGAGGCAAAAAATTCATAGAGTGAGTTATTGTCTACAGATTATTTGCTCCGCTGTTGATTTGTGTCAATGACTGAGAAGTGCAAGACTCCATAATCCCTTTTATGAATTTCCTTCTTTCTGATGTCCCATAGGCTTTCATTTTGTTTTTAAATAAGTGAAACTAGCTAATGCACTGAAATTAACTGAGCTGAGCAAATGCCAAAGGATAACAAAAAGAGATTTCTTTCTAAGGTTAGTTCTAAACTCTTGTCTGCTGCTATGCAGAATATCATCAATATTACCTAGCCCTATTCTCATGTGTCTCATGCAATTATATAAAGAGTCAGGCTGATATAAAGCAAATCCTCCATTTTATGCGTGAATGGCTAGACTCAAACCTGCCTGGCAGAACTTACTCAGAAATTTTAAAGATTACGTGTCCTCACTAATAGCACTATCCATAATTTATTGATGAGTGTCCTGTGATCTTGTGAAGTGGGGAGTAGGAAGCAGTAAGTTATAGTTGGCTTGGTAGGTTTTTGGAAGGTGATGCAAGACTCAAAAGAAGAGTTTGACTGCAAAGGGTTTCTTGAGTGACACCTATCTGAAAAATCTCATGGATTTAGTTTGAGAGACTTGTTCCCCCCAAAATACCTTGCAGTTTAAAGGAAAGTATGTCAAGTTGAAAAACAGGTGATTGAGTTCTGGTCTCACCAATTGTGATGCTAACTGCTGTGCCCTTTTTTCTTAGTGTAGATTTGTATTCCTATGCTAGGAGGCTGTAATTTGCACCAAGGATATGTCTACAGAAAACAGGGTCACCTGAGTGACCTATGAGTAGATCGGTTTGGTTACTGGAAGTAGTATAAACATACAGCATGGCACTTTGGCCATGCTAACAGACTTTCTCAGCAGGGCTAAATTACATTAATGTAGTACTGCACTCTGGTTAGCTATATGGGTCCTGATACCTGTGCTAGCTCAGTCATGGTTAGCTCAGGTATCTGTGAATAGCACTTATCATTCACATAGCTATTAGGGCTGTGCGAAACAGCACCATTCCATTTCCACTTGAGTTTTGAGGTTTCAATGGAACAGCGTTTCATTTTGAATTTAATTTTGATTTGAAACTGCTGTTCCATTTCATTTAGTTGAAACAGTGATGCTGTTTCAATGCTGTTTCAAAGTTTCACGCATACAGTATAATGGGGAAGCTTGAAACAGCCTCTCGCATCCAGCAGGCAGATGGGGGTCCGCAACCCTGGGAGGGCTGCGGGGGCTATGCCAGTCCTCCTGGGGCTGTGGGGCCCCCCGATTTGCATGCCAGATGTGGGAGGGAAGATAGGTCCTGCTGCCTGAGACTAGGGATAGGAATTGAGCCCAATCACTCAGTTCCCCTCCCCAATGCTACGATCGGGCTGGGGAAAGGAACTCAGCTCAACTGGGCTGAGTGGTCTTCCCCAGCCTGATCGTAGGGCTGGGGAGGGGAACTGAGCGATTGGGCTCAATTCCCTTTCCCAGCTCCCAGGTTCCAGGTGGTAGGACCCGGCTTCCCTTCCCCTGTACTGTGATCAGCTTCTGGCGACCCTGCTGCAGGAGGCGAGGAGAGCCAGGGCTGTGCTCCAGGCTGAGCTACATGGGGTTGCAGAGCTGCTGGGAGGACAGCCCTGATTCTCCTGCCTCCCACCACCTGGCTACTGGCTGCTTCAAAACTCAAAACGTTTAAAAACTTTTGAATCATTTCAAATAGCCTCATTTTGTTTTGAGGCTGTTTCAACACCCTTTGTTTCAATTCAGTTTCACTGTTTTGAGCTGCAAATGAATCAAAACTGTTGAATTGAAACAGGTGGTGAAATTTTGCACAGCCCTAATGACTATACTTGGAGTAGAAAACAAACATCACCCAACCTAAGCAGATTTGCTGATATTCCACCACACTTGATTTGCTTTATTGGGCAACACAAACCTTGTCCTTTGTCCTGCATCAGGTCCCCTGCCCAATGTGAGACAAGAGGCAATGTGTCCTCTGGATTCCTTGTTGCTCCATATCAACACAATTTATTTTTGTTGCACTAGTGATGTGATGTGACCAAAGGTAGTTACATCTATTTGCTTGACATTTGTGCTCCCATTAAAAGGATGTTTCTACCCATAGGGATAGTTTACATGGCACAGGTTACTCTGAGGTGAGCTAAGAGGTGAATTTATAAGGTTACAGCTGCTAAGCATTAAGTATCAATTTACATAGTTATTTCAGGGCAAATGCAAGTAAGCTTGTCCCTTAATGAAAGCAGGGTAGGCTACCTCTCATTTGGTGTAGGGTACAACCAGGAAGCGACCTGCCATGGAGTGTCTAATTGGCTACAAGTTTGCACCATCTCCAACTTGGTTTATGTAACTACACTTGATCATTTCAGCTGTTCCTCAGGGGAGAGGCATTCTAGTCTCAGACTCCTTGTGGTCATAGGCTTGCTTATTTTATCAAAGTACTGCCAATGAGCTTGCATGGGAGGTACCGTGTGAACTGGCACTGCTTCTCTCACTTGACTTCCAGGGGTCAGCAAAATACGGCCTGCAGGCTGCTTCCAGCCCATCAGGCCATGCTTATCTGGCCTGCGGGGACCCTAAAAAAGTAGAAAATTTAATATTTATCTGCCACTGGTTCCTGTTACAGATGACAAGAGCCATGAACAGTAGGACCCAGGGGAAGCCCCAGCAGGCTCCTGCAACACCAGGGCCTTCCTGGCCCCGCCCCCCCAGCTGGAAGCCCCGAGGGGCTTCTAGCTTGGGACCATGGGGCTGTTCATGGCAGCAGCAGCATGGGAATTCAGGTAAGAAGGGGGGTAGGGGGAAACAGGGGAGGACCATGGGGATCGCCCCAGTCCTTAGGGCTGAGCCAGCTCCTGCTGAGCCCCACAGTCCAGCCATGTAGCCAGGAGCTGGTAGGCATGCAGGAAAGTGGGGGCAGGGGTCAGAGGGGAGTGGAAGCAAGCAGGAGCGTGGGGCCTGTGCCGGTGTCTTGGGGCCAGTGCCAGCAGGTCCCAGAGCAGGGTGGTAGGAGCTCAGGACACAGGCTGGTTGGCATCTGTGGAGCTGGAATTGGCTGCACCACCAGGGAGGGGAGGTGCTAACCCAGCTTCATGGAGCCCATGCTGGCCAGGACCATGAACTCCTGCCACCCTGCTCTGGGCCCTGCCAGCACTGGCCCTGGGACACCGGCATGGGCCCCATGCTTCTGCCTGGCTGCCACTGGTTCCCACATGCCCATTCACTCCCAGTGCCCCTATCCCAGGCACGTGGTACAGACAGGGAGCAGTGCACAGCCCTGACCTCACACTTGCCTGCAGGGAATGAGCTGGTGCTCAGCATGGGGGGAAAGATGGCCTCCCCTGCTTTGTGGCCAGTGCTTCCTGATTCAGCCACTTGCAGCCTGCACGGGGCTGTCGGGCCTATCTGCCGCATCACCACCACCCCGTGGGGCAGTGGTGGCAATGGAGAGCAGGCACAGGAAGCCCTGTGCGGGCTCTGAGTAGCTGCAGCACAGGGCAGCAGCCACAGGGAAGGGGAATGGCTGCTCTTCCCCCATGCTGAGAACCAGCTTGTTGCCCAGAAGCTGCTGCTTGGTGCAGAGAAAAGCGCCCTCCTCCCTCACTCGTTACTGCTGGGCAGTGTGCCTGGAGCCCATGCTGTGATAAGCTGTTGTGCAGCTGCTTCACCACCACCTCTGTGCTGCCCAGTGCAGCAACAATGGAGCAGCCTCTGTGCTGCTGCGCCTCAGCCTCAATGGGTGAAACCAGAGCTGTCACAGGGCCCAGGCTGGGAGTGGTGGCGGGGAATGATCTGGTGATCAGCAGAGAGGCAGAACAGCCCTGCATGAGTTGCAAGTGGCTGCAGCATGGGATGCAGGCCACAGGGTGGGGAGCTTATCCCCCGCACTGAGCACTAGCTCATTGCAGGCGAGCGTCGGGTCAGGGTTGTGCATGCTGCTCCCCACCTGTACCGTGGGGCTGGGGTTGGGCACTGGGAGTGAATGGATGTGCAGGAGCCAGCAGCAGCCGGGTGGGAGTGCAGAGCCTGTGCCGGTGTCCTGGGGCCAGCACCAGCAGGGCCCCCGGGACGGCGGCGTGAGGACGGGGGGCAGGGTGGCAGGAGAGCGGGGTCCTGTCCGGCAGGGTCTCTATGGAGACAAGCCAGCTGCCACCTCTCCCTGCTGGTGCAGCCCAGTCTGGCTACAGAGACCCCTGCCAGCCCATGCCCCGCACTCCTACCTCCCTGCTCTGGGCCCCACCAGCGCTGGCCCTGGGACATTGGTGCAGGCCCCACACTCTTGCACACTTCCACTCCCCCCTGCCACTTTCCCCACTTTTCTACCTGGCCACTCTGCACTACATAGCTCCCATAGCCACATCCATACCCATACACACACATCCACACATCCCCACAAACCCCCATATGCAATCACTTCTGCATATACACCACAAATGCCCACAAATCAGGACAAAAATACTTTTTATATTATTTAAAATATATTATTATGGGTGTTTGATTTTTAGTATATAATTTTTTTTTTCCCCCCCTAAGATGGCAAACCCTTTTCCCCAAAGGAGTACTTCCAGGGGCAAAGGGACAGCTTGCCAAAACTTGGTAAGCAGTCTTTCGCCCATAATAATTGCCCGCCCCAGTTTAGAGTAAGAAGTCTGGGTTGGCAGTTGCTGCAACTCTTGGTTGATGTCACCTTAACATTTTTTTTTTTTTTTATTTGTGACCCAGTGGTAGCAGCTTGATAACAAAAGAGGAGCTGTTATCAGGGTTTCTGAGGGAAGCAAAAGCTGAAGAGAGGAGAAGGAGGTAAGAACATGAATTCACAAGTTCTGATGACCCAAATGAATGGAGGATGCTCATTTTTACACCAATATTTGAGAGGTGAATTTACCTATCCTCTCAGCAATTCAGCATGATTTTTCCCAAATTAATTTTATCAAGTAGGTAGCCCTGGGCAAATCATGAGGAAGGGAAATAAGCTAAGAGGAAATGTCACCCTTTGATGTTTGTTTCTGGCAGGGGTTCTCCCTCTATCAGCTCCATAACATATGGATCCTCCTCAGTGTGAGATATTTAATAAACATATTTTATTACCCATTATATCTTTGAACTAATCATTAACCTTCATGTTCCAAAACATATTAAACCCAATTAGTTTAATGAACACTTAATCCTTCTTTGAAAGTGGTTGGTACATATTTTAGCATTCAGTTTGATCACCAAAAAATCAATTAATTTCTTATTTTTCAGTGAGTGAAGACAGACTTTTAAGATATTTCATTTAAAATGTAGAGGCTCAAAGCAAGTCAGTATTGAAAACAAAGTCATGCTATCAAACTGGCTTTTCGGGGGTGGCATTCAGTGGTTACAAGGCATGAGAATTGTAGGCATCTGCTTTTTGGGTCAAATAGCTACACTTAAATCTTGATTTGGTCCACAAAAATTTCTAAAATGTCATCTCTTCCATCAGTCCACACAGCTAAACCTCTTGTCCGGGCTTCTGTCATCTCACCTTTTGATTACTATAGCATCCTTTCCCCTGGCCTTAACAAATGCAGTTTTGTTCTTTTTGTTGGTATCTATTTGTATCCCTAATCTGTCACTTTCACCATAGCATTTTACTCTTTCCACCCTTTAATTAGTTCACTCTTTTACAGTATTTTATACATTGTCAGCTGGCCTTTTCTTTAAGGCTTTTTAGGATTTACTCCCAATTAACCTATAATTTCTTCATTATTACCAAGAGGTGGATTCTTGTTTACGAACAGCCTAAAGATGCCACTTGATACTTCCTTCTTGCTAAAACTTCAGAAAAATCACTTTCATGCCTCCTTCCACTTGAAGATCTGCAGAGGCATTTTGCAAACATGTTACACTGTTTTCTTTCTGATCCATAATTAAAACACTTTTTGCTATGATGGCTAGAAAAAGTTTTACAGTAGCTAATCTTTCGTGCTCTGAACCACTGCCTAGCCTGCTTCAGTAGTTTTGTGTCTGAATTTGTAGCCTACTGCAAATCTGTGTCTATCCATTGCCTCTTGCCTTATGCTTGGATTGTAAGCTTTTTAGGATGGGGACCATACTTTTTTTTTACTGTATGTGTACAGCACCCAGCACAATGGGGTCCTGGAAGCTTTAAAAAACACAAATAACTAACCATATAAATTTACATAAAAAGGCAATTGAATGTCTAAATTTGAAACTTATGCTTCCAAAGTATTTTTTCAAAAGTTTTAAATGTATACAAATATATTTACATAGAGATATCAAACAGGACATCTTCAACTCCAAACCTCTCCACCAACCAATTTGCAGTTTCCTAATCTGAGTACTGGTGATGCTAGAGTTCCCAAATGCAACTGCTATTTTTCCATAAACTCATTCTCAGTAAAAGCTGAACTGCAGGAAGAACATGAAAATGGAAAACTTACCCCAGACAGTAAAAATGGCAAAGCCATAAATAACAAATTAGGAAATTTATAATAGAAAGTGGTTAGTCTATGTTACCTAAAGGCATTGCAAATAGCTCTGGCTATAATACCCCTGATCTGGCTGTGAACAAGATGCACCTAATTCTGGCCAACCCGTGAGCTACCAGGTCCTTGTTAAAAATCAGGCTGCTCACTTAGGAGTATTTGGCTAACTGTAGGCATTGCAATTTTAAAGATCTTGGTCCTTCTGTTAACTGTTTAGTGCTTCTAGAATGGGATTTGTATGAATCCCAAATGTTGCATAGGTACTTGAGGAAAAAGATTACTCCCATTTTAATGTATTTAATATAGTTAATCCCGTTCTTTCTTACTTTCAGTGGCTGACCAGCACTTGTGCTTTGGCCTCCTTGATGATGCACCTCTATTCTCATCTAGCATGAGTGACCTCATTCCAATCCTGTCCTACTTTAAGAATCTTCAGCTATCTTCTTAGGATGTCCATCAACTGTTGGCAAGGCCTACCTCGAAGACATGGTGCTATGATTTTATGATTATGGATAATTTTGGTATTTCTCAGTTTCACAACTCTCACCATATTGTCAATATTTCTCTTGATTAACAAGCCATTTTTCCTTTATTGCTTTCCTGTTCTCTAGAACTTTCTTGTTTATATTGTTAAATAAATGTCTTCTTCCTTTGCTTTTTTCCCCAAGGCTTTCACTGCAGCTTCAGCACCTTTTTTTCAAGTTTTCCCAAGTTCTGTTGATATTTTTCTCACTTTCTTTGACTTACAACTTTTCAAATATATTCTTTATCAAGCTGTTATTTCTCCTTAATAAAGGATACCATTAATTTGCATGACTGAGTATCATCATGAGACTTAGAAAACCACAGAATCTTAATTTATGACCCAGAGTGCATGAGCTTTTCAGTCATGATTGCACAGTTTATCTTATGAGACAAGTGTTAACAAAATTCTACTAAACCTAGATGCCTTAGGAAATGCTGGATTTATGACCTTTCTTCTGTAATCCAGATCTTCCTAAAGAACCTCTTTCTAACAGAGTACTGATTTGTTGGAGTTTTTATTTTATTAAATAATCCATTAAATCATGAGGGTTTTTTTTTCCAGAAGCTAATGTAACCTGCATAACAAGGGATCCTGTGTTTCCTTATTGAAAGAAAAATCTTCATTCTGTGTATAAATTCAAAGGTGATTTAGGTCTCAATGGAAAATATGTTTCTTCCATTGACACACAGGAAGCTCTTACGTTCTACATAAAACCCTTATATGTGTTAAGAAACCAAGTAGGGCTGAGCAGTCAGGATCTAATTTCAATCCCTATGCCCATGGTTACAATTTAGAGAAGCTCTGCACATTTCTGAAGGGCCTAGAGAAGAATTTGCCTGGATCAGTCATTGTGTTGGGCTGCCATAGATTTCCATACAGCTATACTAGGGATGTTCAACTAGTGGGTCATGTGCTGTATGTGGCCTGTGAGAGGTTACGTTGTGCTCCCTGGGATTTTATCTGGTCACTGTTCCCCCATTGCTCTAGCTGCAACAGCAGGCAGAGTCAAGGCTTTCCCTCCCTCCTCCACCTTCTGTTTCCTACCCTTGATCTGGGGGATCAGGCAATGTGATACAGTGTAGGGAGCTAAGGGTGTGTCCAGGCTGGGGGGTGGAGGGGGGAGGACAGGGTCATGGCAAGGGGCAGAGATCAAGCCCACATGGGGCAACAGTGAGAGAGGAAGTACCCAGTGCAGCAGCATAGAGGTGGTGCTTGTGAAGATGCATGTAGCAGCAGAAGGAGGGAATCATGCTCACATGGTGCAGCTGGGGAGGAGGTGCCAGTGCAGTAGTGGAATACGTGGACCAATGGAGGAGTAGAGCATCTGTTTAGCCCAGTGGCCTGTGGCTTGCCTGATGTAGCATGTATGACATGTGGACCCAAGGGGATTAGAAGACAGATACCTGTAGTTTATGCCAAAGCCAGGGATAGTCTTTGAAAGTCTCCACATAGAATTGTATCCTAAGCGCAGTTATCTTATTGGGCATTTCCATCTAAACACATGCCTATTCAATTTCTCAGACTCGCTGTGTTCTTGAAGAAACATCTACATATCAGAAGTGGATCTAACCCACTTTTTAAGCCATCTTCTTCAGTAATATTCCTATGGTAAGGAGGTGTCCACTTTAATGATTATAACAGTTTTTTTCATTCAAGCTACTGGGCGCAAGTAATTCTTCCTGGCTCTCTAACTCCTAGACTGTACTTGGCAGTCTTTGTTAGCTAGAATAACAACAAAGGGTCTCCTGATGACCTGACACTGACTAAACACTCATGGAAGGAACTGCTGACTAGGATGCACGCTACTTCTTGTCTTGTGTGAAAAATGGCCTGATACTTATGACTGACATTTTTGTATTATTTCATAACAGAGAAAATCAATAAATCTCATTCCCAGAATAATTCTTCCAGCATGTGTCCTGCCTTGCTTCTCTTTTTCTCTTTGTGTAATGTCTCACAATTTCTGTCTTTTGCCAGTGCTGTAGACATTTCAAATTTTACATCCAATTCAGAAAAATGTAAATGCCTTTAAAATAGAAGGGAAGATCCACAAAGTGTGTATGTAGGCTGATGACAAATTAACTTTCAAATAAACCATAATAATAAAGATTCAGATTAAGTAAGCATCTGAAAAGTGCCTATACACATGCAGCAAGGTTGGTCCAATGTGCTATAATTACAGTACATTGGAGAAGACTCAATTAAATCGAGCCTGCTGAAGCACGATAATTACTATGCTCCAGCAGACTCCAGTGTCATGTGTATCAGCATCCCCATGCTGAAAAATGGTGGTGGGGACACTTTTACTAAAGCTCATTCGACAAGCTTTAGTTAAAGTGCCGCCACCACCATTTTTCAATGTGGGGATGGCGATACACATGAGGCTCTGGGTGCTTTAATTAGAGTGACTCTTGGAGCTGATCTATTTAAAGTGCTCCCTCCACTCCCAGAGCACATGTATAAATGCCCAAAATGTTTCATCTTACCTTTGTAACTACACTAAGTAAGGGTGGTGTCACACATTCAACTCGCTGCTTATTAAGTTCACTTAAAAACACAAGCAGAGGTGCATTTAAGTATTTTAATACAAGGTAAGTGGCCTTGTGGTATTCCAAAATTGTTCCCTTTCAGGTGAAGGTAATCTTCTAACACATACTAACTTTAATAGATCACTACATTCCAATGATTTGCAACTGTTGCTGGTAAAGATGGGATAAGGCCCTGAGTGTTAAGTTGAACGTGTGTGTGAGTGGGATACTCAATCTTATCCCCATCTCTCCTTTAGACTTGCCTGCCATAACTTGGATGAAAGAGAAAAGAAAGGACATTATGGTTTTTTCATGGTTCTGGGACAGAATAATGTCACCCTGATGTCAATTGCTCACAGCATACGTTTATTTCTAACTTAACACTGGTGAAATGACAACGTCTTCGTCAATTACTTTATTGGCTAAGTTAATCAAAGTTACAAGCAGGAAATGCTCAGCCCTGATGCTTAATAAGGGTTCTTCACCGCTAATTATCTCATTAGCGGCAAAACGGTCTCTGTGCTCCCCATTTTCCATGAGTGCACGACCCCAAGAGCAGCCTCTAACTGCTCTCTCTAACAATTTGTTATATTGTCCTGAGTTTTCCTCAATCCTAATAGTCCTCAGACCTGGGGATGGCCCCAATTACCCCCATTCCTCCACTAGGGGGCACGATCCTTTTTTTTAGAAGTCCTGGCGGATCCGCTGCTTTTCCCCTCACTCACCAGCACAGCAGAGTTACCGGTAAGCAAAACACTTTTGCTACTGCCATGCTGTATCTCTCAGGGATCTACCACCCAACAGGATTCCTGGCAGGGTGATCCTCCTCACCACCAACTTGCCACATACCTCAGGGCTTCACTCTTCCTGGCATTTGTCCCAGATCATCAGTAAGTCTTTCTTCTTTCTCCGTGGAACTTCATTGCTCCTCACGTCTTCTTCTGGTGCCTGAAGGCAATCAGGCTGCCTCCTGCTGCCTGTTTTATGCTTCCCTCAGCAGGCTAATCACCCTCATTATGTTCCAGGTGTGTAACTCCCCCCCCACCTGGCCGGGTTCACCGTTGGGTCAGCTTGACCCGATCTTCTAAGTAACAGGGCTCTTGTCTGAGACCCTGTTACAGACCTCCCCCCTAAATTCAATAATCCCCCGTTAGGATAGGTATTCATAAGAGTAACACTCAACGTAACCAAAACTACAAAAACAAGAAGAAGAGAAAAAAATAAACAGACAAGAAAAGAAAAGATTCCTTCAGAAGCCGGTGTCTTTGTGCAACTTCCTGCAGGTAAGTCTTGGTGCAGTTTAATTTGTCGTCTGGGCAGGAGAGGAAGTCAACATTCTCACTTCGTCTCCTTGCACGATGTCTTACTGTAAAATAAAATGGTTGTAAGGCCAAGGTCCATTAATTAGCATGGCATTATCCAGCCTAGCCGTCCTTAACCAGCATAGCGGGGCATGATCAGTGATCAATACAAATTCCCTCCCCAGGAGATAATAATGGAATAATTCTATTCCCCATCGAATAGTTAAACACTCTCGCTCAATTGTAGAGTAGTGAGTCTCCATGGGACTGAGTTGCTTACTGGCAAAACCTATGGGTCTTTTCTTATCCGCCTCTTTTTGGAAGAGGATCACCCCTAGGGCTATTCATGACATGCCTGTCTATAGATGGAACTTCTTCTGAAAATCTGGGGTATATAGTAATGAATGTTGACACAAGGCTTCTTTAATTTGTTCAAAGGTGCAAAGTGCTTCTGTGTTCCACTGTATCGGGTTCTGATGACCCTTGGTTAAGTCTGTTAAAGGAGCTGCCTTTTCTGAGAACCCAGGGATAAATCTTCAATAATAATTAGTGAATCCCAGGAACGAGCATAGTTGTTTAAGTGTTTTCGGCAAAGGATGTTGTTGTATGGCTATCATTTTATCTGCCACCGGTTTTATGATACCTTGACCAACTAGAAAGCCTAGCTATTGAGTCTCCCTTTTCCTGAGTGTGCACTTCCTGGGATTGGCCGTGAGTCCAGCTTGTTTCAGTTCCATCAGTATTTGACTCAGGTGTTGACAATGTCTCCCCCAATCTTGTGAGAAAATGATAATATCATCAATATAGGCTGCTGCATACCCCTGATGTGATGTTAATATCCCGTCCATTAATCACTGGAATGAAGCAGCTGCCCCAATGGAGCCCAAATGGCATCCATTTAAACTGGAATAAGCCCCATGGAGTGCCAAAGGCTGTTTTTTCTTTATCTGCAGCTGCCATAGGGATCTGCCAATAGCCCTTGGTCAGATCTAGGGTGGATATGTATTGGGCTTGACCAACTTTCTCCAACATATCATTGACTTGTGGCAGTGGAAAGGCATCGAAAGTTGCAATTTTGTTTATCTTGTGGTAGTCAATACATAAGCATATAGAACTATCCATTTTTGGCACTACCACCATGGGCTTTTCCCGTTTTGGGCTTCTCCACGGGCTTCGGGATTCTTCAGTAAATTTCTAATTTCTTCATCTGATAGATCTCTTGTTTTACTGCCAGCCAGAGATGACGGGGTAACCTCCTCCAGTAATCGTGTATCACCCGCCCCGGTGATGTCAAGATCTGGTGATTGATACCCTTTGCTATGCCAGGTGCCTCTCAGAACACCTCCTGGAATTCTAGAATCAGGGCCTTCAGATCTTCTCATTGCTTGATGTCTAATTGGTTATCAATTTCTGGCTCTCTGTGCAACCCTGTGGGGCTCTGAGGTATCTCTATTTCCCCATCATCTATTTCATTCACCTCTCTCATCAGCCATCCGTATTGCTG